TTTTTCTGTTAACAACTGTTCAAATATTTTAATCATATGTGTATGTCATGACTTTGTCATCAGGAAGTATCTGCCAGAGAGAACATGGTGAAATTTGTTTTCTTTTATCACTACTTTGTTTGAAAACTAAATAATTATTAGAATTTATAAATAGTATTATTTGTTGGGAGCCCTGGTGGCACAGTGGTTAAGAGCTTGGCTGCTAAGCAAAAGGTTAGCAGTTCGAATCCACCAACCGGTCCTTGGAAACTCTATGGGGCGGTTCTACTCTGTCCTATAGGGTCGCTATGAGTAGGAATCGACTCGATGGCAATGGGTTATTACTTGCCGAATATTTATGCAAGGCACTGAGTCATACAATATTTTGTTTAATCCTTACAACAGCCTGATGAGGTCTGTCCTGTTAGTATCCTCACTGGCTCATGAGAAATCGGAGGTGCAGAGAGCTTAGGTGACTTGTCCAAGGTCACACAGCCTGTGAGGGGAAAGCCAGGCTTCCACCCTCAGGCTCCTGGTGCTACTCTCTTAATCCTGGAGGCCCTGCTGTGAGTTTGCCAGATGATGACCAGGCAGGCAGCACCTTCCAGTGCTGTCAGTCCAACATCTCAGGCCACCTCCAAACCGACCTGAGAAGCAGGGATTCCTCTGCCCACTTTACAGGAAAGAAAACCAGCTCAGAGAGGTGAAGAGGAGACGATGGACAGGGTGACCAAGACCAACCTGGGGGAGCCATGAATACCAGGTTGCTGTGCACACACTGCTTCTTCTCAGGTCTTCAAAACAGCCTCTGCTTTCAGGGACTAGGGCTTGGCATTTACCCCTGAAGTGCGTGCCCCCCCTTCTCAAGCACAAAGGCTGCTCCTGGCCTCTTAGCCCCAGGAAACACCTGTCTCTCATCTCCTCTCCCAGGCAATCTGCCAGCACTTCTCAGACTCGGCCTCAAGGGGTGGGGCGGATGCTACCCCATGCTCCTCTTTGAGACCATTTCACCCCAAAAGTCTCTTACCTGGATCAATATCTCAGGTCTGAGACACGGGAACCTCAAGGGTCCCCCATTCACCGAGCTTATTCTAATTGACTCTCCTTTGTAGATGACTTTTCTTTTATCCCTAGCTGCTCTTAAAATTCTCTCTTTATCTTTGATTTGGGTAAGTTTGGTTATAAAATGTCTTGGTGACTTTCTTTTGGGATCTACCTTATGTGGGGTTTGATGAGCATTTTGGATAGATATCTTCTCATCTTTCATGATATCAGGGAAGTTTTCTGTCAACAAATCTTCAACAATTTTCTCTTATCCCCCCCTCTTCTGGTACTCCAATCACTCGTAGGTTATTTCTCTTGATAGAGTCCCACATGACTCTAGAGTTCCTTCATTGTTTTTAATTCTTTTGTCTGGTTTTTCCTCAGAGAAGTTGGCGTCAAGAGCTTTATCTTCAATGTCACTAATTCTGACTTCTACTGCCTCAATTCTGCTCCTATGACTTTCTACTGAGTTATCTAATTCTGAAATTTTGTTGTTAATCTTCTGGATTTCTGATAGCTCTCTCTCTATGGATTCTTGCAGCCTATTAAATTTGGCATTATGTTCTTGAATAATTTTTTTAAGTTCTGCTACTACTGTGTCTGTATGTTCCCTGCATGTTGCTGCATTCTGTTGAATTTTCTTTCTTATTTCTAGAAGAGTTCTTTATATTAATCTTTTGTATTCTGCCTCTGGTAATTCCAAGAAGTTCTCTTCCTCCAGATAATTTACTGAT